CTAGTCCCATGCGCCGAGACGCTGAGAAGCACAATAGGTTGAAGTTCTGCCGCTTCTACAAGGATCACGGTCACGATACCTCCGACTGCTACGAGCTGAAGAGGCAGATCGAGGGCCTCATCCAGAAAGGGTACTTCAAGAAGCAAGTGGGACAAGCTCACAGCAGAGGAAGAAAAAAGGCAGGTAGTTCAAAAGAAGGAAGGGCAAAGAGGGAGAGGACACGATCTCCTCTTAAACGCACAGAYCGACCTACCGTGATCAACATGATCTTTGGAGGTCCGAGCGGGGGGCAGTTAGGAAGGAAGCACAAGGCACTGGTGCGAGAAGCCCACCACGAGATTTGTGCAAGCTATATACAGCTCACTCCGTACCAGATTTCGTTATCAATCGAGGACATGAACGRCCTGTACTCCCCTCACAACAACGCCTTGGTTATCGAAGCAAAGATTGACCACATGTATGTAGACTAGTTTAAACAGGTCTTGCCTAAAAGATAGTTTTTCTCTCCCTAAGATCGACCAGTTAGTCGACGCAACAGCGGGGCATGAACTTCTCAATTTCATGGACACCAATTCAGGCCACAATCAAATAAAAATGCACATCCCTGACAAGAGCATACCTCGTTCATCATTGACCAAGGGCTGTATTATTATAAGGTGATGTCGTTCTGGCTAAAGAATGTTGGAGCGACCTACCAGCGCATGGTTTACAAAATGTTTTCGGGTCAGATAGGGTGAAACATGGAAGTATATGTGGATGACATGCTTGTTAAAAGCGAAAAGGCGTCCTCCCATATTGCCGACCTTACGGAGACGTTCGAGGTCCTCAGAAGATACCGGATGAAACTTAATCCAGAAAAATGTGCGTTYGGAGTCTCGTCTGGCAAATTCTTGGGCTTCATGGTCAACCAGCGGGGAATAGAAGCTAACCCGGAGAAAATCCAAGCTGTGTTAAATATGTAACCACCCCGAAACCTAAAGCAACTTCAATGCCTCAACAGAAAGATCGCCGCGCTGAATCAGTTCGTGTCGCGATCTACGGACAAGTGCTTATCGTTCTTCAAGTTATTGCGAAACAAGGATCGTTTCGAGTGGACCCCCGAATGCTAGGTGTCCTTCGACGAGCTCATGAGTTATATGAGCTCGGCGACATTGTGTCAAAACTACTGCCTGGTGAGGACTCTCGTTGTACTTAGTTGTCTTCGCAAATGCGGTAAGCTCAGTACTATTGAGGCAGGACGGAAGTCGGTAGAGCCCGRTTTACTATACTAGCAAATCCATGACGGACGCTGAGACCAGATACCCGCAAATGGAAAAGTTGGCGCAAGCACTAAAGATCGCAGCGCGGCGCCTCCGACCTTACTTCTAGGCCCACAAGGTGAAGGTCTTCACCAACTTTACCCTGATGCAGGTCTTCCGAATACCTGACACCTCGGGAAGGCTCATGAAATGGGCTCTCGAGCTAAGAGAATATGACATAGGTTTCGAGCCAAGGGTCGCGATGAAGGGTCAGGTCGTAGCTGACTTTATAGCCGAGAGCTCACTCCACCGAAGAGAGATCCAGCAAGTGGACTCTCAATGTCGATGGCTCCTCGAACGACAATGACAGCTGGGCCGGAATCCTTCTCCAAGTGCCCAGCGGAGATCAGTTTAAATATGTGGTGAGGTTCAACTTCCCAGCTTCGAACAACGAGG